GTGTGTGTGTGTGTGTGTGTGTGTGTGGACAGTGTTAGACCCGCCAAGAGCCAAATAGCAAGTTGCTCGTAGAACGCTCACAACTGACAAAAAGGACTTCCACTTGCTACTCTCAACTAAGATGAGAATGATGCCTTCGCCATTCAATCTTTCCCTTTTTGGGACGCGCCATAAATATAACTTTCATTCAGAATCGTAGTAGGATATTGTATACACTATGGCCTATACAGTTCAGAACATGTGCGGGTCAGTGTTTCTACCGTCCTGGATAAATCTGATACCCATTTACCGTTCCCCTAGGGTAGAAAGCCTGGTTGGCCTGGCGGGAGCCCTGCCGGGATTTGACTGCCCGAGTGCGCGTGAAGGTGGTTGAATCCCAGGTCGTGAGGGTGGTTGAATCCCGGGTCACTGAAACCTTACGTCCTTTGGGACATTCCAACGAAGAATACTTAAGTTTGACTAGAAAGGCTTTTTTTTGCGGAATTTTCTCGGGCGGGTAGAGAAATCGTATTTTGGCCATGAGCAACTAAGAAGACGAGAAAAATGTTCCAGAATCTGTGGAACGAGTCCCTTCTTTTGGGAGTGGTTACTTGAGAAGGGTGTGAACCCAAACTCGAAGATAGAAACTATCTACGAGATATATTCCATTGGTCGATAGAAAATCGAGTTCTTGTTCTCAACTAGATTCTCGCCATGTTTTCCTTCAGTTTCCTTTACTCTTTGTAAGAAACGTACGCATAGCTGCCGTCCAAATTGCCATAGATCCACACATCAGAAGCTAACTGTAAGAGACTGGGCTCACGAGATAGAAGCTGCGAGACTGAGTCGAATAGGTCTCCGACCTGTGGATGAAGAACAATGAGTCGTTCGCAATGTATGCATCATAATGATTAATTACCTCTGTTGGGTCGAAGTCATACTCGTAGGGACCGTGCTCGACCATTTTCATTGCAAGTGACGAGAAGCTTCGTCTGTACTTTCCGTTTCACCTAGATCAGAATTTTCTGGGACCAAGCTTCTAGGTTTGTTCCATTGTACTATTGGTTTTGAGTGTTTTATTTCTAGTAGATTGGATGTAATTGGCTGGTCTCCACAAACCATTGAAGAAACGCATTTCGCGATGAACGGATAGGCGGTTATTCTAACGTTGACTTACATTCATGGTGCCTCTCGACATGATTGAAAGCAACGGTAAGAAAACGAGGAGGACAAAATGGCGTTATGAGTCTCCGCCCATTCGATTATCGCAGGATGTGTATTTGAAGATGTCAAATGTGAGCTCGAAATTCACTCGCAATTTCCTCCTATTGACGACAATTTAGAATGGAAGTCCTTTTTTGCCGTGACTAGTGTACTGTGTGCCGCCAGTATGACGTTTGTGAAGATTACGAGCCTTCCTTTGCCACAAAGAAACTGGAGAAAGCAAGTAAGGAGGGACTCCGGGCTCAGTCCAGAAAAAATGGTGAATGGTGAGACGCTCTCCTTGGTCAGTTTGTCCGATCCGCCGCAGAGGACGTCTTACTTCCGTGGCCCAAATTATCGTGATAAGAACGCCATCTCTTTGTGGCCGAGGCAAAGCCCCGCCCCATACCACGCTCAACATCACTTCTGTCGAAAGAGTGGTGGTGCAGCTGTTCTGCTATTGGTTACCCATATTTGAGAGGGAAAAGAAAAATAAGGGAAAGAGCTGTTATCGTAACAAGTGAGAGGCTGTAACTCTCTTTCCTTTATGCTCGTACTAGTTCGTTTCGGCAGAGGCCCCATCTAGAGTATTTCCTTCTTGCTTTCTTTTTGTTATTTCCTATAGTGAGTTACTTACTACTTTTTCACTGGTATTTCAGTCCCACAGCCCAACATTTTTAATCGCCGGACGAGCTTTCAAGGGACAACACATGCGAGGATCTTACCCTTCTTGTCTGGGTGTTGTCCATTTGCGTAACATGAACTTCGAGGAACATATTCGCTTCCTGGTCCTCAATCGTTTCGTTCTGGAATGGAAACCTATGCCTAGAATATTTTATTGGACAATCTGAGAGCCCAGCTTTCCAGATCTTACCACTGGGAATTTGTATGCTTGACTGAAATGTCGCAATGTATCGTGAAGTTTCCGAAGTGACGAGAAGTTGGGACTGATTGTGAAGTATTTGTTGATTTCCTGAACGATATCATATGTGAAACACGGACCCCCGTCCCATACTTCTGGTACATGTTTAGTCCATACCAGAAGTGGCAAAGCATTTGGCATCTGATCAATCCACTGTGCTTTTTCGGCTCTTTTCAAGCTGTCTTTTCGTCGTTCTTCCAGGTGACTACTCATCAATGGAATTATTGAGATCGTAATAAGCAGTAGCACAATCAGGTACGGTAGCGCATTCTTGAACTCATTGCTTCCCACTTCTACTATACGAACTTGCTGAAATTGAACACACATATCGTTATGATCCCTGCAAACGATAGGACGTGTGAGGCGTGAGTTGGATCGCCGCGAGAACAGCCTTCCCACCTGCCAATTGTTGCGGACTAATGGATGGCATCATTGACGGAAAGGCCGCCTTGGCGTGACTGTAGTCATAGAACTGTCGCCTCAGTTCATCATTTGGTGAATCCACATAAAGGGGATGCAGGTCAGAACCGTGCCGGTTGAAGGTTCCGCAGACTTATCGCCTCTGATGGTAAGGCGTTCTCCCCCCTGGCGGGCATCGAGGATTGGGGCCGTTTACGAAAATTTTTCACTGCGATGAAATGCGCTGGTCAAAATTGCAAAGAAATTTAGG